CCTACTTAGGGCATCTACGTGCGGCATTTTTATACCCGCCCGATGGGATATTGTACTGATTATTGCAGTTTTCAAGCCCTAGAGCCCACCTTGAAATCCGACTGTTAACTAGTTTTTTATAAAGGTTTAGTGCTACTTTCTTCAATTTCAAACCTTCCAGGTAAACTCTGAATTTTCCAATGCAACTTGAATATTTATAATGTTTCAATTTAATTTTTTTTTTCTAAACTATAATAATATTTTTTTTTTAAAGCTCCAATGACACTACGCTTACGAAAAAAGTTGCATCGACTTTCTTAAAATACTTTAAGAGAAAATGAGTTTTGAAAAAAAAGAGATTGCTTAAAAATGTAATTGCTTATAAAAACTTTAAAAATTAAAATTTTTCCAAAAAATTCTCAGAATCTCTTTAAAATCTATAAACCTCTCTACTCACAAATTTTCACGCAAAAATTCAAACTTGACTGAAATCCGAAGTCCAGTTTAGAATTTTTCGCCCATATGTATTACTTCTATATTGCTAGTACAATATGATCGCAATGAGTTTTCAATTCGAAATCAAAGACAGCCTATGAAAATTTTTGTGATTGTGAACTACTACATAGAATGAAGTGCCATATCATAACCGGGGCAGTTCAGAGAATTTTACTAACAAACACAAATTTCACGGCCTCATGTTTCCTTCAAGCCGCAATGCATATCGAGCCCTAGCCGCGAAAATAAAGTAAGCGAACTTTTTTCAAAATTTAATTTTGATCTATAAATACTCTTAGAGCACCTGCATCAAAAAGTAAATTTAAACTAGTAATTTTTAGAAAAAAAAAACCGACTTCAACTACCATATAAAAAAAAAATATATATATATATCTCATGATCCACTGATCGGATCTCAACCAGATTAGTATGGGACCACCTCTGAGACACTACCTTTCCGATGCAAAAAGAATTATCGAAATCGGTTGACGTGGTCCAAAGTTATGCGGTAACATACATAAAAAAAAAAAAAAAAATATTCCGACGAACTGATAACCTCCTCCTTTTTTGGAAGTCGGTTAAAAATATATACATTATTTTAGCGGTTAGGGCTCGATATGTCGACCTTCTCCGAGGCTCTTCGTTCTTTGGAAAGCTGAAAAATTGGAAAATAGAAGATACTTACAACTGATGCCAAGTCCTTCTCTATTTGGTACTTTTATCCTCTGACACCACCAGCGTTTCTCATAGATTTGCAAAAATTATATTTTTTATTGTTAAAAGGCTCCTGAATTTTGAAAAGTAAAATTGTCATTTTGAATACATTCTCTTATCGGATCTCTCTTTCTTTTTTCAATATGTCGGCACTCTGAAGTTGGGGAATGTACTTTGAATGTACTAGCAATATAGAAGTATTACATGTATGTATTCAATACTCTGATACTTTTATCCTAGATATTCTACTTCACTATAGGCTAATTTAAATTTTTTAAGATTTAAGAAGCCGGATTTAAGATATATGACGTTAGAAATTTTATTGCCCTTAAATATTCCAGACAATCTTCAATCAATGGGAGTGGATAATTGTCCTTTGCAATCAATTACAGTCCAAGCACATTCGAGTTTCCCCCGACTTATTTTTTGTAAGCACAATTGGTGATGAATAAAAGTTAGTCACTGTGCCTGATGATGCCCTTTTTTAGTAATGATACTATTAACCTCAGTCTTCTCCCCGAACGAAAGGCATCTTGTTTTGCAGAAGGTTGATTTATTTGATTTTAACACAATTTTCGCTTCATAATTACTCTCCGGAAGTACTTCTGAAGGTAACTTAGGGTTACCACCATCAACGCATGCTTTACCTAGTGGTGGCAAACAATCGATGGTACTACTGATACTATCGATGGTTTTGGTTTTTTTTCACTATCGATAGTTTTGGTTTTTTTCACTATCGATAGTTTTTCAGTGGGAGTTAATTATTGAACGATTTCTTTCTCGGGTTAAACAAATTCCCGGATGTATTAAGAATTGGGCTGTATATTTAACGCAATGGGGCGTATTCATAGTTGGTACTTAGGCCCAATTTCAGATGGCCTACGTAAGTAGAGATTGTTGATTAACTTCCCCTATTCATTTTTAGATCATATATTTAATCTGCCCTTAAATGGCCAATATTGGCTATTTAAATATAAGATATGCAACCCTGTGTTTGTATTAAACAACCTAGATGGATTGGTATGTTACTTAATCAATCCCACCAAATCCCATCAAGAAACAATCAGCTGTTCAGCACAAAATGTAAACAAACAAGCAAATGCAACAACAATTTCAAGGAACAAGCAGCAGAGCTGCCAATTGTTTGGCATATTAAAACGAAGTTGATCTGAAACCCAACGAAGGCTAAATGGCATTTAAACAACAATCCACAATTAAACCTAAGTGCCGTTTAAATATTCATTTGTAATTGGCCCTTAAAGTTAGTTGTAGCTTTTTGACATAATTTTGGATAGGTTATCTGTCAAAAAAGTTACAACCAACTTTAAGTAGCAACTTGATTTTGACTATGAATACGCCCCAATCAGATTTTTTATCTTTTCAATATAGGCGACTATCGATAGTTTTAAAAAAATATCGCCCACTATCGATAGTCGCGACATTGACATTGAGGATAAAGCTAGTGGTGGCAAACTATCGATAGTTGCCACCACAAGCTTTATCCTCAATGTCAATGTTACAGATTTCACTAAATGCTAGCTGTGTTGCCGAAATTGTCAAATTGCTATCCACCTAACTTTTTTGCTTATCGGTTTTTATTTCCTGCTTTTTCTCAATTTTCACACACCCATTATTAAAAACCAAATTATTTTTTATAAACTCAAAATTCACTTCATTTATTTTGTTGTTTTTATTCATGTACGAAAATATGTTGTACATATTGGTTTAAGAAGTCTCTACTGAGTAGCAAAGGAAATGGTAGCCATTCATCTGGCAATATATGAACTAAGTGGTTTTTTAATATTCCTATAGTGTGTTAATATACGCATTTGTTGTTCAGGTCCTAGCATACTTTTAAATTGTGACATTGATTTTTGTTCACGTATACGTTCATTCACATTTCCTACCAACGATCGCCGCACGAAACTATTAGAGTTGCCTGTATCAAATAAGGAAACAAAATTTTTGAAGTTTATGCTTTTTGGAAAACAGATATCCACGGACATTTACCATTTCTTTAGAATACACCCCCTCCAACTCGTTGTCTATTCCATCAATCGCTGCTACTGATTTCACGGGGCAGTTTTAATACGTGGGGTCTGTTACGTTTTCGATATTGCTAAAATTTACTGGAAATGTTGGGGTCGCATTAACATCCTCCAGTTTCCTGATCTCGTTTTTAAGTTGCAGGATACGTAGGTGTTTCTCAAATTGTACTTCGAGTTCCGTTAGTACGTCGCTATATGTGGTAGCCGCTACCAGTCATATTTGCTGCTGCGCTACCGTTACAAACCTTGCTGGCTGACACGATCTATCTTATTGGATCTGCGTGTTAACAAAAACTCACCACCGCATGACCGTGACGTATACGTTGCTTCTCTATACTGTCGCACAGTTTTTAGATGAAATCTGTTAAAGATTGCGTACCCGTTTTCCTCAACGCCGTGCCCAAGGTCTTGCATGCGGTTGGCTGAATTTTCGTAATTGAACAGTGGCATTTTCAACCACTTCCATAAGTTTGCTGTCGGACTCAAATCTGGGTTTTACGCAGGTTTACTCCATGATTATAAAAGCTTGGGATATCTACCTATTTGGCCCCAGTATCGGAGAATGTTTCTGAACATTGTCCTGTTTAAATTGATAAAAGCTTGCGAAAAATATTCTCAGAAATTGCCAAATCCTTTCGAAATGTTCATTTATTGTCACTTTTCATTTTACCATCGATTTTACCTCAGTTCATGCTCCCTAAGGCGTAACACGGCCCTACTTCATTAAATGTACCCATACAAACCTAATTGTTTAAATATTTTGAAGGGTTAGGCGTATCCCTGATGCATTTCCGCAGCACCTGAACCAATATTCCGACTGGAAGCGTTTAATTATATCCTCAGAGTCAAAATATCAATTAATATTAAATTATGGTGGAATAGTGTGGCCGTTTATAAAGAACTTGGAAATGCCCGATTCAAAATAATACCAATCCAATGATTTTTCTTTGTAGAAATGCGCTTCTGACTAAAAATTATTCTGGTTGTCAAGGCAGACTTTTTCCTCCTTATCTTTGTGCTGTAAAACCGTCTTACATAATGTTCAGTCAGTCCTTTGTGGTGAAAAAGCAGTAGGTTTTGATTTGGAACCAAAGTTTATTGGTATTCAGAGACCCACCAATATGCCTAGCCTGGCAAACTGCTTTTTTGTGGTCTCTTGACCTTGCAGACTGAGGTCCGCACTTTTATCGCTTCTTTAGATAACCATAAGACCATAAGATAAGGCCGATATGATTTCTTTTTTTATAGGGTGGACTTTCTGACNTTACTTAAAATGTATACACCCCGGCTTATCATGTAGCGGTAGCTTTCGGAAAGGTGGAAAACATATATTTAATACTTGCGCCGGGTATTTAATGTTCGGCTCCGCCCGAACTTAGACTTTCTTACTTGTTTTATTATTATTTTTTGCTTGGTATGTGCACTTAAAGCACTCACAGCGAAAGTCTCACGCGCCTTGATTACAAAATTTCAGGAAATGAACCAGAACTCCTCTTTGAATTATAAAATTCAGCAATTACTAAGAGGGTGCAAAACTGGAACAATTCAGTTAATTTTTATTTGGTAGTTTTTTTCTGAGTTTCCATATGCGAATCTTAAAATTTTTATTGTCAAACGTTTAGTTAAACATCGGTAAGGCGAAATGCAAATTTTAATTACCATAAAGTTAATAAACTGAAAAAGTACATTACCACAAATCAAACTGTCCGTTCTGTTGTTACAGTTTTGCTCTTCAGTGTACATATATATATCTACATAACTCACCATAGTAAACGCTGCCTTAAGGTCAATATTTCTTTCTGGCGTATTTCCACCTTGAAATTCGTCACAACCTAAGTACTCCATATTTTTTGGCCAAGCTCCTGATTGTAGCATATCCCTGCAAAGTAGATAATGTGTAATTTTTAATTTATTTCGGTTTAACGGCCAGTATGCAACTCTCAAGAAAACGGTCAAGAAAAATTGCCATTATTTCGTGTATGTGTCCAAGGAATTTTGACATTTCATACTTCATCAGCCTGTCGCCTCACTCTTTCCTCAAGAAATAATGGAACGGGCATATATTTCTGTTGCAAGCATGGGTTACCTTGTGCTCTTTTTTCACAAAAAACTTTAGAAAACCGAAAAGCATAGCAAATTTCTTAAGAACTGCGTACTGCCGCAAGAAAATTTTACACAAGAAAATTTCTTAGCCATTTCCTGTACGTCACTTTATATGGAGTTTTTGCTTTTCTTGAGAGCTGCATACTGGCCTTAAGAAATCCTACGATGTGTAAATCTGTAGCTTACTTAATAGCCAAGAATGTGCGAAGCGCCAAATCAAAGTAAAAGGCTGACATTATTTGCGGTTCTTCATTGAGATTGAAAGTAGTCTTTAGACGTCCAAAACGATCACGATTCTGAGCGTACGACATTGGTTTCAGGAACATGATAGTTGCATTGTCCCGTTGACTACTCACTTCACCCTCACTCTGGGTGATTGCGTGCCAGGCGAAGTTGCGTTCGAAATAGGACGGCTTAACGGATTCTGCGAATGTTGATAAGACTCGTATTAAATGTTCGATAAACTCTAATTTATCGCTACTACAAAATAAAAAAAGGCGGAGGCAATTTTTTCGATAATTTTCATATCTTCAAACAGAATTTGGCAAGGACGGCAATTCGTTACAAAATAATAACTTCATTGTCAATGTTAATAAATAAAATTATAGTTTAAAAAACTAAAACCCCGCTATTATAATTTCCATTCGTACTGTCATCAGGTATGTAACTTGATAGTAGAAATCTCTGCATCTTTTAGGCGCATCAATATTACATAGTTACATCCCGAGCTAATAAATAAAAGGGAGGTAATAATAAAAAAAAGAGATATTTCGTATATGTATGTATTATTCGCAGTCGTATCCCTGCAGTACGGAGGAGCGACTACAGGACTGATGAATCGGTAGTTACCTGGTAAACTCAGTCAATTACCGACCGACTACTTGCAATGTATTTCATCGTTTACTTTTACAAGGCAATGTCCTAGGCAGTAGTCACCATCGGCTCTCTCTGCATTACCGGGAGTTACTAAAGTAGCCACTTGCGTGATTTATGGGTGCCCTCTATTCTGCTTCCGACTGGATCGACTCTGCACTACCATGTGAACTACCACGGATTAATAGAGTAGCTACTTACCTAGGACTCGGTGCAGTACCGGTTCAAAAGTAGCGATTGACTCCAGCAGTACTGGAGGGTTTTGCTTCCGACTGGCTCGACTCTACACGACCATGAGTTAATAGAGTAACTACTTACCTAGGAGTCGGTGCAGTAGTGGTTCAAAAGTAGCGATTGACTCCAGCAGTACTAGAGGGATTTATGTTTCTATTTACATACAGGCATTTTACGGAGAAAACACAATGGATGTGATGTCAATGAAAGTTGGCAGTCCCGTCCCATCCATTAATTATGGATGGGATATCCATTTTGACTGGATACTTATCTATAAAATTTTATTTGTCTCCCATTAAGTATTTAATATGAATATCACATGTATAGTTAATGATATCTCATTGATAGACATAGTCATCAATTTCTATGGATATCACATCCATAGTGTTTTCCCAGTGTACGATATTTTAATCAAACTTTCCAAAATTCAGACATTTTCCTCTGCCCTAAGAACAAAATTCAGACCTATGTGACTTCCGGAAATACAAAACATCTACTAATTTTCCCAAAACAATCTTACCTAAAACCATGCGTATGGACATTAGATTCCCCAATATGAAAAAATTATTTATATCCAAATTTCGTAATTTCTCGATTTGTTCCTCGCGTTCTCGCTTTCCCTCCTTAGCAATGCCCGTAATTACATGACGGGTTTGTATATTTTGCAATAAGGATTTGTATTTATGATCCATGACGAATGTGTCATCATACAATATAGCTGCATTTGTTATATTCATCTTTCGAACAATGCTCCGAACAACTTCCGGTATTAGGTCGGCCGGAGGCATTACCTGCAGCAAATATTTTTGTTTACTCTCATCCAAGTCGCGCCATTGCCTCAAATCACCTTCCTGCCCATATGAAGCACTGACGGTAGGTAAACCCAGTGCTTGTGCGAACGACTTAACTGTCTCCGAGGCTATTCCCGATTTTGTAGTATCGAATACGATATGAGGCGGCTGTTTACGATCAATACTCTCCGCGTACTTTGAACAAACTGTAAAGAAATTAATGAAACGTAAATTAGTAAATTAGTAGATAGAGGATGGTTCCGTGCGCAGAAGTGGAAAACCTTTGACTACCATTCACCTGGGAGTGGCCAGAAGTGATTATTGAGCGTACGGTTCAATTCGCAGGTCACAACGTCCGGATATTTATATCCACGCATACTCTGGGTAGCAATCAAACACCCGTTTGGGAGCGAGCTAAAGTGCGAAGCCGTAAAACTTCGCGTGCGCTAGGTGTGGGTCCCGCCACGTTAAAATCCCGCCCAATGAAAAAGTTCAGAAAGCCTCGGATGAGCTCCGCTTTTTTTATGAGGACCACGGCAAGCGTACGTAAAGGACTATGATTTGAGGGTATGCGCCTGGAATATCCGGACCCTTAATGGGGAAGATGCCTCCGCCCGGCAGGTTGATGTCATCGGGAAGACAAAGGCTGACATCACCGCCATCCAAGAAATTCGATGGATGGGGCAAGGCAAGGTAAGGGTGAGGCCTTGCGACGTCTACTACAGTTGCAATGTAAAGGAGCGCGAATTCGGTGTTGGATTCGTGGTAGGAGAGAGACTCCGCCGCCGAGAACTGGCGTTCACCCCCGTGGAAGAACGTTTAGCCACAATCCGCATCAAAGCGAGATTCTTCAACATCTCGCTCATGTGCGCCCATGCCCCAACGGTAGGGAAGGACAAGACGTCCAAGGATCTCTTCTATGAACGTTTGGAGCGTACATATGAGCGCTGCCCCTGAAACGATATCAAAATCGTATTCAGCGATTTTAAAGCCAAGGTGGGCAAGGAAGGGATCTTTGGCGCCACCGTCGGAAAATTCAGCCTCCACGACGAAACGTCCGATAACGGACTATGGTAATATGTAAACTAGGTTCCAGCATAAGAACATCCACCAAGCTACATCTACATGGCTGTCTCCAGATCGAAAAACGAGAAACCAAATCGATCATGTGGTGATAGACGGAAGGAATACTTCAAGCGTTTTAGATGTACGTACACTCCGAGGGCCAAACATCGACTCGGACCACTATCTTGTTGTAGCCAAGATACGCACCCGCCTCTGTGCAGCAAAAAATGTGCGCCCAAATATGCGAGGAAAGCTTAACGTCGAAAAGCTGCAATCACAGCACACGGCCAATTTATTCGCCACTCGCCTCCCACACCTGCTCTCTGAGAGCACTCTTCAACAATCCGACATACGCGAGCAGTGGAACCACATTTCCCGATCATTAAGTACCGCCGCCAAAGAAGTAGTTGGATTTCAGCGAGCCCGAAAGAACAACTGGTAAGATGAGGAATGTCAAGAAGCCGCAGGGAAAAAAGACCCCGCCTATAGGGCCGCGCTGCGACCGGGAGCAACGCAAGCTAGATGGGACCGTTATAGGGAACTGAAGAAGGAAGCGCGACGTATTTGCCACAATAAGAAGAGATAGGCCGAAATACGTGAGTGCGAAGATCTTGAGATGCTGGCCGACAGAAAAAACCCCCGAATCGGAATCGGAGAGTTAGGCGACTAACGGAACCTAGAGACTAACGGCGACCTAGAGACTAATCTCCAGAACGTACGTAAATTATAGAGGGAGCACTTTCCACGCTTTTTCGAGCCCCCAGTCGATGTCGATGGAGTCGATGTCTCACCGCCTGACTATAACGATTACGCGGCTGAAAAACAACAAAACTGCTGGTGATGACGGCCTGCCAGCCGAGCTATTCAAGTACGGCGGCGAGGAGCTGATG